GAGAGAGAGAGAGAGAGAGAGGTGCACAGGCTAGTAAGGAAGAAACGTTGTGATGATGGTGCTAGGATGAGGACGATGATGGGAGAGAGAGCGAGAGCGAGCGAAGGGGAGAGAGAGAGAGAGAGAGAGAGAGAGAGAGAGAGAGAGAGAGAGGTACGCAGGCTAGTAGAGATGAGGAAACGGTGTGATAATGGTGGTAGAATGAGGACGATGGCGATGGTAGTGATGATGGTTGATTAGTGGAATGGGAATGGTGTTGGCTTGAAGATAGCGACGACGAGGTGGCTGATGTGATGAAGATGGTGAAGGTGATAACTCTGGCGATGACGACGGTGTGATTATGGGGGTGGAAGGTGGAGCTCGTGGCTATGGCTATGGCGATGGCGACGGTGGTGATGATGATGATGATGATGATGATGATGATGATGGGTCTAAGCTGAGGTCGTTGACGATGGCGACCGGACGATGATGAGGTTGAAGATGACGGTCGTGGCGATGGCCGTTGCATGGTCATGCTAATTAGGGTAATGATGAGCTTGCTGGCTATGGAGGTGGGAAGATAATGAGGAGGATGAAGGTGAGGGGCTCTGGAGGAGATGGCGATGGCGATTTGCGGATATGGAGGAGGTGGTGATGACGATGGTGAGGGTGGGTAAGGTAGTGGGTTAGCGATAAATCGCTTAAGGAAGAGAAGATGAGCTTCACTTCATTTGCGTTCGTGGAAAAAAAGAAAAAAAAAAACAAAAAAAAAGAAAAAAAAAAGAAAAGAAAAAGGAGAGAAAGTGAAGGCGAGCTTGGTGTGTGTGTGTGTGTGTGTGTGTGTGTGTGTGTGTGGGTGGAATCAGGATTGTGAGGATGGGACAAACATTCGTGAATGTGAAAACGAAAATGACCTGAGTGTGAAAACGGCCTGAATGTGAAAATGGCCTGAATGTGAAAATGGCCTGAATGTGAAAATGGAAGTGAGTGGGGTCGATCTCGGCGACGATGGGTAAAAGAGGAAGATTGTGTCGAGGGCGATGAGGAGAGGTAGGTGATTGTGGTGATAGCGATGGGCTTTGTGATGTCAGGCGAGGGCTATGGAGGAGAGGTAGCGCGAACGATTGAGACGGAATGGAAAAAAGTGAGTTGGCCATCATGTGTGTGTGTGTGTGTGTGTGTGTGTGTGTGTGTGAGAGAGAGAGAGAGAGAGAGAGAGAGAGAGAGAGAGAGAGAGAGAGAGAGAGAGAG